TATGAAATTAATGTTGGTTGAACAAACACCATGGAAATAATGCACATTTTCTGTGAATGAAACGAGGGTAATAAAATCTTCTTCCAAGAAAATCTCTCGAAGTTCTTAACTGTTCGATGAAAACGTAAAAAACCATATTCGCACTAAAGGGGGGCTGGCTTGCGACAATGAGTTCCGTACAACAAAACGAGGATGACGCACGAAAGTTGGGATTAAGTCCAGTATAAATTCGACGTGAGTGCGATCGACACTCTCACAGGTCTCTGGTCGACGCAACAAAATGGTGAGTCTCGTCTTTACAGACCTACGGCACTAGTTGGTTTGCACTTAAAGACATTACTTAATTTGCCTTTTGCATTTTCACGTTTGACAATTCAATTGCTTCTTGGCTCAGTTTTAAATCTACTGTAAGCTCAGTTTCATTAGCATGGCGGAGAGTCTTCTACTGATAAGTGTTTGATTTAAACGTTAAAAAGGGCGAAAACTTAGAAAACAATTTAGGACAACAACTGTATTATTGGAAAGTGCAATTAAAATCCTGATAGAAAATGTTGTACACCTCGTCGAAACGGGATTGCGCTGACTGCAATCTCAATACAAGCATAAACATCTTACATAACCTTATAGAATTAGTTGCTTTCATTATCAATGTGTCTATATACATACACACATACACACACACACACACACTATATATATATATATATATATATATATATATATATATATATATATATATATATATATTATATATATATATATATAATATATATATATATATATATATTATATATATTATATATATATATATATATATAATATATATATATATATATATATATGGATAGATCGATGGATGCATTTTCATCTATATTTGTATGAAAGTGTGTTTATGTGTTGCATATGTGTGTGTGTGTATGTGTGTGTGTGTGTGTTGTGTGCATTAACGTATGTATAATCTATATATAGACAGTTCTACAGACAGATATACAGTGAATATATATATAGAACACGTGTATCTCGGATACAAATTGTTACTCTGTCTGAAAAAGTGAGTTTCCATCAATCTCCTCCGCCTTGTCAGTTCCCTTATTCGCTCTTCCACTTGCCTCAGCGTCCCCTGGCGAAGGCTGGTGAGGCAAATGAGCAAAACAATATACTTGAACTTGAAACAGACTTTTTAAGTTACGCAAAAATATATTTGACCTTTTGGAATAATTACATAATATTTAGCTTTCACCTGCCTGTCGCGTTTCACTACTAACATCAGCTTCTGTGTTACTGTCCAGGTATTTTCGTGTGTGAATGTTTACGAATGTGTGCGAGTCCACTTAGCACATCCTTAAGCCGTTCACTCGCCCTTCCCCTCCACCCTTCCCCTTCACCCCACCCTCCACCTCTGCCTCCTGTAACGCGTTCTTCCTCCGGCCTCCAGGTCTCCAAGGTGCAGCTGCTGACGCTGCTGGCGACGGTCGCCGTCAGCCTTGCCCAGAACACGCGCGGAGGCGGAGGCTTCGTCGGCGTCATCGCTGGTGGTTTCGGCGGCGGCGGCGGGCTGTGGCGGCGGCGCGGCTGCGGCGGAGGTTTCGGTGGCGGTGGTTGCAGCGGCGGCGGCTGCGGCGGAGGTTTTGGCGGCGGCGGCGGGGGCTGCCGGTACTGGTGCAGAACCAATTTCGGCCAGTACTACTGCTGCGAGGGCGGCGGAAGCAACAACGTACACTATCCTGTTGGTATGTAAAAGAAGTATCCTTCTGGTTTTTCTCAGATGTTAAATGCTTAGGAACTTGCATCAGTGTCAACCCTTTCCTGGCGGGGCCTTATTCACCCGACGCTCCCAGGGTAAAGAGAAATAAATGAGAACAATAAGCATGCCAGAAATAATCAAGGGAAGAGAATGTACAAACGCTGCCTTCTTAAGAATCAAAACAAAGCTACTAATACCATGACCAGTTGGAACTCTGCTGATTCAGCGAGTGCGCTGGCTGACCCACCAACAATGAGTCAGGACCCGCACACCGCCTGCCATAGCACGATGGATTGGCCAGCACCATGTATTTCTTTATCCTAAGGATAACTTTACTGTTGTTCAGTATCACTGGTATAATTCCAAGTATGCGTACGTTTGTGCTTGTGAGTATGTGTCTCTGTTTCTATGCATGTGTGCAGATGTGTGCGTGTATGTGCGTGTGCTTTCGAATATTTGCTTTGTATATAACAAAACACTGAAACATGCAGTCCTATACATACATTTTGACTCAGCACCACGCCGTCACACCCAAACCGGTTCCCAACAGTAAAGCCTGGCAGATGCCCGCCCGTGCGCCCGCAGTGCCCGCCCGTGAGGACCTTCCGCCCTCCGTCCACGTGCAGCAGTGACTCCAGCTGTGGCGGCTCCGACAAGTGCTGTTACGACACGTGCCTTCGACATCACACCTGCAAGCCGCCCAACTTTTACGGCTGATCCTCCCGCCCGAAGCCCCGTGGGTGGGTCGTGGGCGGGTCCGGCGCGGCGTGGTCAGCCTGGGTCCCTAACCCGCGGGACGCGCCCTGCGGCAGCCCTGACCGCGGGTTAGGGACGCGGTTCGAAAAGGTTTCGGGTCAGCTCTTCCAACGGCTCTTCGCCCCTCCCTTGCGTGAATAAAAGTGCGAGGGAACTGACCTTATTTCACTGTCATTTCCCTTCTACTCCTCTGCCGTCTGCTGCGGAAGCACGCTTTCCGCCCCGTGTTGGGAAAGGAGCTCGAGGAGGGCTTTTTGACGCGGGCGCAAGTTGCTTGATGTTTAAGATCAGCGGTCGCGTGTATATGTGTAAATGTGTGTGTGTGTGTGTGTGTGATACTATATATGATTATATATATATATATATAATATATATATATATATATATTAATAATAATATATATAATATATATATACAACATACAGTATATATGTATACAATACATACATATATACAACACACACACACACACACACACACACCCACACACAACACACACACACACACACACACACACACACACACACACACACAAACACACAACACACACACACACAACCACACACACACACACACACACACACGCACACACACATCACACACACACACACACACACACACACACACACACACACACACACATATACTATAATATATATATAGTACTATATAATATTAATAAATATATTCTATACTACTAAATACTATCATTATGATGTAGCTAATATGCATACTATACATACTATAGTTATGTGATGTGTAGTGCTGCGTGTGTGGTGTGTATATATAATACTAACACGCCTACTACTTATATATATATATATATATCATGGTCGTATAAATATATTATATATATACATATATAACTACATATATGCACATATTATCACTACACTATTACTATATAGTATATATATAATATATATGCTATAGTTTAATATCCTACATATAGTATTAATATACTATATATGACTAATCTAGCTATACTATATATATTCAGTCTATACTATTGTATATATCGTATATATGTACTATATAGTATATATTAAACATATATTATGATCATTTTACTATATGATGATATATGTAATATATTAGCTTATTATATGTATCACACACTCACTAAAAGCTAGCTACAAGTATATATGCAATATGTTATGATCGTGTCGCGCGCAAACATGTTGTAGCGTGCATGTGCTCTACCTGTCTCTCTCTCTTCTCTATTCCTTCGCCGCCTCTCCTCTCTCTTCCTCTCCTCTCTCTCGTTCCAATCCTCGCCTCTCCTACTCTTCTCTCTCTCTCTCTCTCTCTCCTACCCCCTTCTCCCCTCTCCCTCTCTCCTCTCTCTCTCTCCCCCTCCTTCCTCTGCCGCTCTCTCCCTTCCTATATCACCTCCCTCTCCTCTCCCTCTCCCTCTCCCTTCTCCCTCTCCCTCCCCCTCCCTCCCTCTGCTCCCCTCATCTATCTTTCTCGCTTCTCCCTTCTCGCGTTTCCCGCGCAATTCTATCTTCTCTCTTCCTCTTCTACCACCTCTTTACTTCTCTCTTACCTACTCCTCTCTCTTCACGGCACACTGTTGCTCGCCCACGTGCCCCGTTAACTTTGAAGGGGGCAACGGGCTCGCGTGGCGGAGGGTGGAAAATTAAGTGGAGTGCGGGTTCTCATCAGATGATAGTAGAACAGAGAGGGAGAGGGAGGATGTGAGAGGGTGCGAATCAAGACGGGAGACCGGATATTAGGAGTGACAGAGACGGATGGGAGTGCGAGTATGGGGAGGGACGGCGGGGAGGGAGGCGAGATGGGATGGGCTGACGGAGGAAGTAAAGAGAGGCGCTGCCGGACGAATGAGATCGAGAAGACGGAGAGAAAAGAGCAGAAGTAGGACTAGAAGAAAGGGCAAAGATCGAATAGTAGGAGAGAGTAGAGGGAAGCAGAAAAGTAAAGAGGGTAGAGAGTATACGGTAAGGTTATTATAGAGATAGTGCGAGTATAGAGAAAAGAATCATTCAAACAGACGGAAGAGACAGGATGTAACAGTAGATAGAGAGAGATAAGAGAGAATATTAGATTCCACGACTGTTATCTCACCTGCGAAACAGACAACCCACTGAGCAGCAGTGAGCCCACACCACACACCAGTAATGCACATATGAAGACAGACAACACGACACTACTCCGACGCGCATACCTTAACAAACCACCCTACATCACAGTACGCTTTATCACAGTCATCACCTCGCTATTACTAAATCATCACTAATTTAGGTCTTCCCGATCTCAAGACCACTTAAGCAATATGAGTAACAAGCGAAAACGGAGGTAAAATAATCTAATAACAGCTCGGTGATATGCAACCGGGTGTCGGCGCGGCGTGGGGGGTTGACCGGATAATACCCCTGGTTGGGTGTGTGGTTCGTAGTTAGCACTGTGTAGTATTTGTGCTCTAGTGTGTTGTGTGTGTGTATGGTGACTGGCTGTGTGTGTATGGCCGTGCCGCGTGTGAGCGTGTGCTGTGTGCATCGTGGTACCCGTAGTGACGGGCCTGTCCATTCCTTTTTTACTCAAATAACTGGACTAGCGACTTTTGCCCATATGCCTCTCTAACTTACGCGGCGCGCGTCTGAGAGGTTCTCCTGAGCCCCTAGAGACCGTTGTGTGTGTGTTGTGTTGTTGTGTGAAACGAGGGCGACTGAGGAGATAGAAGAGGGGATGAGGCGACGGGGTGAGGAGACGGAGAGAGAGGTGAAGGAGAAAGAGAGAAGGGAGAAGGATATTGAGAAAAGAGGAAAGATGGGGACAATAAGAAACGACGGAATAGAGAGAGAGCGGAGATCAGAGAGAGGAGGACGATTAGAGAGAGAGGGAGATAGAAGAGGAGGAAGTTAGAAAGAAGAGGAAGATAAGCAGAGAGGAGAATAGAATAAGATAGTAGAGAAAGGAGAGAGAAGATGCAGAAAGAGAGAGTAGAGAGAGAACACAGATAGGAGAGGAGAGACAGAGAGAGAGGATGAAGAGAGAGAGAAAGAGAGAGAGATGAAACAAGAAATAAAAACAGACCAACAAACCAAAGAAGACAGATACCACTCTAAATATCAATTATAACTAATAAAATAATGACGAAATATATTATATATATATATATGTATATAATATGAAATCATATATACCATAATCATAACTATAACCTCAAATCCACTGATATACTAATATCTATATACAAACAACCCTATAATCAACCACCTCAGATCATAAAATAGTAAATAAACTACGATAAAAAAATATACTGCGTAAGTAATGGTGTGTGCTAAGATAGCCACTCCTAGTATGTGTGTGTGTCATAGTATAGTGTGTTGCAAGATATAAACATGAATAACCCAATTAACTAATATATCATTATTATATAATAAATATATATATATACCAAATAAAATCACCACTCCAATCTAACCAATCCACTATAATATAATTATATATATGCGATAGGGAATAATATCAAACAGCACACACGCCACCTAAACCACAAACAACACAACACAACACAAAGACACCAGAACCCACACCAAAACAACACACACACCCACCGACACACAACAAACACACACAAACACACACACTTAACTATATATAGACTAATAAATAATACATATATATATATATATCATATATAGATAAATGTATATATATAACACTACTTAATACAATTAGTACTACTATATATATATATATAATATAGTATATTATGTATCACTATTCTCTTCATGAAAGTAGACTCCTCCACGTTGTGTCACTGTATTTGGATGTCCGCAACCAAATAGAATCCAAGAAATAATGACAAGGAGATTTATAGGCCTTGGATTGTCTTACAGGGACACAAATGCGACACTGAGCAACTACATCCGAGTACTCCGTCATTCACGAGAATCTCACACCGGTACCTAAAAAAAGAAACGGAAAATGAAGCACACACACCACCCGAGATTACGCGCCGGTCCATTTAATGCCATAAGATGCGTCACGTGGAATTGTTCGCTGAAACACACACCAACGGCGCACACACTTCATGAAAGACCTCGCTACACAATCACACTACATTGTACATCCCTATCTACTCCTCTGTTTAAGTGATTATTTTTTGTTTTTTATTTTTCAATGAGCTTACCCGACAAATAGCCCTGAAAGGTTTAAATTCCTCCCGAATGAGAGAATAGTTCCCATTCCCAGCCTCAAATATTCATTTGTCACTTTGCCGTCACCGCCCAATACCTGCTCACAACTCCTGAGCCCGTCCTACATCCCCTGACGCCGCGTCTCCCTTGTGTGTGTGGTAGATGTTGGTGAAGTGTGTGATGCCGTCGGCGTAAATGTGTGCTAATCATTTGGACGGGGAGCTATTAAGCTTAAAATTACCCATGAAATCACCATATACGTAGATATTTAAACCACCGTCCACACCGTCGACATTCTGATAATGAAGCAGTGTATACACTATCATATATATTTTTTCATCTGATAATTTCCCGTTTCTATGGTATTTTGCCTTTACCCCAAGGCAGCACAAGCAAATGACAAAGTAACTAAATAATAAAGCTTTAAATCTCGGTTCAACTGGTCATCACGTCTTGGCCTCTCTTGTGTTTCAGCTGCGAAGAGCACCGCGTAATAGACAATAGCACTTACCTCTCGCTTGAATAACTCGCATGGTACTTCTCTTGAGCAACATGGAGCACAAAGGGACTTATTCCGTTTCACCGTATTTCACGTTTCATGGCATATATTTTGTCAAGAAAGAAGCACGGAAACCGATTGCTGATTCAACATTATTAACGCTAGTCTGAGGGCTCCGTCGACGTGTGTAGATCCTTCAGTCAAAAGCCATCTCTTGTTGATTTGGTTTTGGTAATGAAAAAAATTTTTTTTGTGATGATTAACTTTTTCTTAATCTTTTGTTTGGCTATATAGAATTAACATTTCTTTAAGCGAATTACGGACAATAGTTTTAA